CAAGCCCGCCCCGCTCCCCCCCCCCCCATCCCATCCATCGGAGATTTGCGTTAGAAGGCGGTTTAGGCGGCAGGTCCCCTTTGCAACGGGTAGGGGGACACGCGCCGCTTCAGCACCCTGGAGAGCGCCCGGCATCTTCGACGGGGGGGGGAGTTAATCTCCTGGGGCTGAGCGCAGGGCTGGGGGAGGGGAATATTATTAATATAGTTACTTCATTTGTATTTTTCCTTTCTCCCTGAGACTCAGAGCGGAAATCGAGATTCAAACGCAAATCTGAGCATTTATTTATGTTAGATAAATTTATACCCCGCTTTTCTCCCCGTTGGGGATCCAAAGCAGTTTACAATATCGTTTTTCCTGTCTCCCTTTAAACACTGTTTCGAGACCTATTGGTTTTGGGGGGTCTGGGGTCATGGAGTCTCAGGAAGACACCCTCCCAGGTCGTCCGCCTTGTTGTCGCTCCCATAATCCCTCCTGGGGGGGGGGGGGGGGGGGGACGGGACGACAACGCTCGGAGCGTTACGCTCCCAGTTTTACACAATCCCCGAGTTTACACACGTGGTCTCACGGCTACGATCCTCTGGGCGCTTCCTTGTGAGCGGGGTCCGCAGCATACAGTGGGAGCCTCCTTTCCCAGTGGGTGTGCCTGGTGTTCAGCAGCACAGCCTGCTCGAGAGTAAGCGTCGTCGTTGCAGACGCAGTTCCTGCGGTTTATTTCTCAGTAAGCATGCGTAAAATCTGGCTATCCGCCTGCCCCACCGCTGCCAGCATTCCAACGTGTGATTTGTGACTCGCCTTCTTTCTACGATGGCGCTCTGTGCTGGATTTTACCCTCGAGGTGGGGAGGGGGAGGGAAAGGGTTTGTTCTTCTGTCATTCGGAACGCCATTCACAAGTGACGCCTGGCGACAGAGCGAGTGCGTTTCGAATCGGTTACGTTTCTGATTCCACACGGCCTGGGAATAAATCCGGGGGACACGGGAGTAAAACGCAGACATGGCGAGGGAATTGGGGCATTGTGCCCTTAGGCCTCAGGTAGCCCCCCCCCCAAAAAAAGACAAAATGGCTTGGCTTGTTCTAATACCCATCAGAGATACGCCGGTCAGCTCTTTCTACCGTTCGCTCACACTCTGGCGTGACCAACAAACAGGGGAGATACGATCAGTTTGGCTTCTTGCGGGGGGGGGGAGGGCTCCCCACATGCAAATAGAGGTGCCGTTCCCACCTATGGGGAAAAGTAAAAAGTGGGTCCTGCGGACGTGAAAGCCAATCCGCAGTTCGGGTATTGGTGTCTGTACTGGCTGCGTCCTCACGCGCGTCGTGGCGAGCCGTCAGCCTTCCAGCCTCACGCCGTTCGGGGTGGTGGTGGTGGGTTTTTGGTAGGATCCAGACCACAATGTGACAAGTTGCGCCCTGGGCCCGTCCAGATTCGGGGGGGCGGCGGTCTCTGAAACCCCCCGGGGACCGGCTTGGGGGGGGTCAAAAAGGCGGGAGGGCGGGAGGGACTGGCAGCTGAGCCAGACGGGGCGGGCCGGCGGCTGCATATAAAACCGGCCCTCGCGGGCGGGGAGAGCCCGAGTCGCCTCCTCTCTCCGCCTGGGCGCCGGCTCCCTTCCCGCTCCATGTCTCCTCTCGGCGCAGCGCTCGAACCCGCGCGGAGTTACCGGCCCAAGATGGGAGCTGCCAAGAGACCCGGCGAAGCCCCGGCCCTGCGCAAGGTGAGAGCCCGAGGCGCCCGTCCCCCCTGTCCCAAGTGGGCCCCCCTCCCGTTTCTTGTCCCTCTCCTCCCCCCCTGCTCCCCCCGTCGGACTAACCCCGGACCGCTTTCTGCCCGCAGAGCCTCAAGCCGCTGATGGAGAAGCGCCGCCGGGCGCGCATCAACGACAGCCTGAACCAGCTCAAGACCCTCATCCTGCCGCTCATCGGCAAAGACGTAAGTCGGGTCGGGGCTCAGACCCGGGAGAGGCCTTGGCAGACCTTGGCCTTGGGAGAGGGCAGTGAGAAGGCGGCTGCGGGCAGACTTGGGCGGAGGAGCCAAACGGGGGTCCAGCGGACTCCTTCCTGGAAGCTCGCGAGCACCTTGGCCATGCAGCTACTACACTGCTACTCTCCAGGGAGGCTAAATAAGAGGCGTAATCTTCGTGGGGGCGGCGGGGCATCAGCCTCCGCCGAAATTTTCAGGAAGGTGCTCAGCCTACCCCGGGAGCCACCCTTGCTCCTAGCAAAGCAATGCCTCTGGCCCAGCCCCCCCCCGAAATTGGAAAGTCTACACCCGTCTCCGTGTAGGGTTTGTAGGCTGCGGCCGTCGCCCTCCTCCGTGCTGGGCGAAGCGCTTCCTTGGCCGTCGATTATTGTCCTGACTTTCCGCGGGGCTCCATTGAAGGGTCACCAAATAACCTGCGAGCTTTTGAACTCTTCAGGGCTCTTCATCTGGCCGGATACCCGATTTTTTAAGGGGCTTGCTAATAGATTATTTTGTTTCTCATTCTCCTCCTCCTCTGCCTTCCAAGGGATCCAGGGGCTCAGAGCAGAGATCCGAATTATATCAAGGGCTTCCGTTTTCAAAAGGAATCCCCCACCCCCCACCACCCCCGCTTTTCCCACAGCCTCCTTGGAATCGGTTTTGCCTCCGGCACCATCTAATCTAACCCACTCTATCCACTCCTGCTCACCGGCTCCGGGCTTGTCTATCCTGCCTTGAAACATCTTATTCTCTCCCCCCCACCCCCCGCCCTTTTGTCCTGCACACCCTACTCGATTAAGAGTCCTGAGGAACTCAAAAGCTTGCTTATTGCCCTGGGATGTTTGGGGGAGTCCTGAAATTAACATGTATTTATTTTTTTTGCTTCTAGATTTGAACCTAGATGTTTCTAATAGATTTTTATCTAATCTTCCCAAGTTGGTAACGCAAACCAAACGACCTCTGCTTCTCTCCTTTTCCAGAGTTCTCGCTATTCCAAGCTAGAGAAGGCGGATATATTAGAGATGACTGTGCAGTTCCTCAAGGAACTTCCAGACTCGCGTGCCTCCCTTCCCGGTGAGTGAAATGTCACCCATACACGTGGCTTGTTCTTGAGTCAGCGCTTCATTATACGTTAGGCTTGTCAGCCCCGGGTTGGGAAATCCCTGGAGATTCTGGGGGTGGAGCCTGAGGAAGGTAGGGTTTGGGGAGGGGAGGGGCTTCAGTGGCCTATAATGCCTCAAGAGTCCACTTTCCAAAGAGGCCGTTTTCTCCAGGGAACCTGGTCTCTGCCCCCTGGAGACAATGCTCCCTCTAAGCCGTGGAGTCTTGTGAGCAAAAATTCTAGAGTGTGAGCCACTGGCTTTAAAGTTGTGGGTGAGCGATTTGGCTACTTGTTGGGTGATAGTGAGATATTGAAAAAAATGGTATTTAGCAGAGATAAAATAGTCCAGCAGAGCCAGAGTAAAATAATTCAGACTCAGAGTCCATGTGTGATTAAAATATAAAGTTTTTACTAAATTCTAGCATGGGGAAGGGAAACTGGGATGAAAATAACAACAGAGCATAATCGGCTACATCCTTACTCTACAAAGACAAGACTAGAAGAGAGAGATTATGGCTACTCTTCTTGTAGAACACCAAACAAAGACAGGAAGAGAAGCCATAAAATGGTAATATACCTTGACACTTTAGTCCCAATCAAATTCCTAGATCAGGGAGAAAATTCCCGGGCTTTCTACATCTAAAGAACATTGGTTATATGAGAAACATGTGACTTCCTGTGAGTAACATAAACAAACATTTAACCCCAGATATACTGAGTGTTTTCAACTTGTAATACCCAACACTACTGCATAGATTAGTCTGCACCGGAACCATCCTTCCTGAGCTAAGACTAAAATGTGAGCACCGGAGGCTAAAAACCTGTGAGCTAGCTCACACTAACTCAGCTTAGAGGGAACACTGAGCCGTTGTAATCCCAGGAGATAGCCACCACCCCTTGAGATAGCCACATCCCTTGAGACCAGGGCAGCTGCATGCATGAATGGACTTCACTGAACAACCCAATGCCTGCAGTAACTGGGAAGTCCCTCCTGCACCCCAGGGCTAGCTGGCTCACACGTGCAAGGAACTACCAGCCTGCTGTTATTGTGTGACAGACATGCATGTGTGGAGAAGCTTCGGAGGGGAGATTGGAGAGGAGGGCTAAAATGCTCCAGGACTGGAGCTCCCCCTGGAGAAGCCCACAGTTCAGCAGAGGTGCAGACACAGGAAGTTCCGGTCCCTGGCAGCAAGTCTAGGAACTGCCTCCTCTTGAGGCCTTGGAGAGCTGCTTCAAGTTAGAACAGACACTGCGGTGCTAGATAGACAAAATGCCCTGCTGCAGGCAAAGGCAGCTGTGTTCCAAGACAAGGTCCCAGGGAAGGGCTGTGGCTCAGTGCCAGAGCACCCGCCCTGTATGCAGAAGGTCCCAGGCTCAATCCCGACCAGTGTTCCCTCTAAGCTAAGTGTGAGCTTGTTGTTCAGTCGCACAGTCGAGTCCGACTCTTCGCGACCCCATGGACCAGATCACGCCAGACCTTCCTGTCTTCCTCCGTCCTCTGAAGTTTGCTCAGTTTCATGTCTGTTGCATCTATGACACTTGTCTAACCATCTCATCCTTTGCCGTCCCCATCTTCTTTGACCTTCAATCTTTCCCAGCATCAGGGTCTTCTCCAGTGAGTGCTCATTTGGTGGCCTAGCTCATAGTTATTAAGCCTCCAGCTCAAACATTTTTGTCTTAGCTCAGGAAGGATGGCTCCAGAGCAAACTAATTTATGCAGTAGCCAAATTGCTTGCTCACAACTTTAATGCCGGTAGCTTACAAAGTAGAATTTTTGCTCACAAGACTCTACAGCTTAGAGGGAGCATTGACATTCCTGACCATCTGCAGTGATCAGGGCTGGGTAATGTGAAAGTAAATAAGCAATGCTATGTTTCTGATTCAACATAGGGCAGTTTCATGTGCATCCCTCCCTCAGTAGAATTGGGGCCATTGGTGAGAAGGGTTTGATGGTCTTTCTATCACTATCCCTGTTTGCCTGAGACCTATTTGATGACAATGGTAAAGTTCCGGTACTCGGCAACATTGCAGAATATCTGTTTGTTTAAAAGAAAGTCCACTGGGGGTGGAGGTGGGGATATTTGTGAATTTCCTGCATTGAGCAGGGGGTTGGACTAGGTGACCCTGGAGGTCCCTTCCAACTCTATGATTCCAAGACAACAGAAGAAGAGGAAGGAGAAATACATTGGCAAGCGGGTGATATGATCTGAGATCCACTTGGATCTTATTCTTATTTTCACTGAAATGGATTTTAGCGAGCCCAGTTTAACCCATCCATGGGCCCAAATTTGGCCAGTGATTCACCAGTGGAAAATACATAACCAGTGGTCATTCCTAGCTTCACAGGAGCAGTTTTAGTTTGGGGGTGTATTGCTTATGAATGAAGATGGAAAAGGCCGAAGATCTGAAAACAAACATACATTCCAGAATCTAGTTAACATAGGGCTTGTGTTTGCATCACAAAATCACAAGGCAGAAAGACTGACAGCAGAATATGGCAAGTAATATGGGTCTGTTGCCACAAACGGCAGCCCTGGTTTGGAGTTCTTCCCTCCCCTTCGACAATATGTAATACAACATAACCCATGTTCCAGTGTTTTCCTGCCTCTGCTCCTTGTTACTTGCACCTTCTGGTGGAGGGTGGGAAGGCTCAGTCCCTCAGCCAAAGGGTGCTTCTTTGCCCCAAAGCTTCCAGAACTTCGTTCTTGACCCAAATCTTTCTTCCACAGCCTCCACTGATGGTTACTGTGAAGGCTACCAGGCCTGCTTGTGTCGCCTCACCAACCTCCTGCCCAAGTTCACCTTCCTGAACCCAGATGTCTGCAACAGCCTCTTGAGGCATCTTCAACAGGCCAGTGACGAACACCACTGGAATCGGGACTGCAACAGCCCGACGGACTTGCCCCAAGCACAACACTTGGCCATGCCACTCGGCCCAGTCAGAAGGGCTCAAGAAACCGTCTCTCCACGCTTGCCTGCTGTAGTACAGCCTGCCCTCTGGAGGCCCTGGTAGGCCCACAATGCCTCAGGGCTAATTCTAAAGCAAAGTTTGCTCCTGATTCCCAAAACTGACTACTGGGGCACACCGAGCTGCTAATGCCTTGAGAAACACGTTTACGGAGAAACTTCTATGAGCTCCCACGGAAGAGGTTGCCTGCTGCATCTCTGTGCGAGTCACCACCCTGACCTTCCCTTTTTCTACTGAAGATAGGATAGCCCACCTACTCTTCATCAGGGTGTGATGGATTGTTCAGTCACTCCTGAAACAGAGACATGCAGACTTATGAAAGGAGGCAGACGGGAGTATCTCTGTGTGAGCACCACTCTGGGGCTTCCTAGTTCCAATCAGGAGGCATGCCCAGATCAGTGACTTGTGCAGAAACACGAAGAGTAGGCTCCTCTGAGGGAGGGAAATCATCATTGCTGTTGAGATACTCTCCAAGCAATTCTTTTAGCTGTAAGAGACCTTGAGTTTCAGTTAAGGGTGGGGAGGGTGCTTGAGCTGCCAGGGAAGCTCTGCTCTCTGGGTTTATATTTTGGCAGTCTCCGGAATTTGGAGCGCTTTCTTGTCCCTGTTCCTTCAGCCGGTCCCCCACCACACCCTGTCCTTCTCCTTTCTCTGTGTGTTTTTGGCCACACGGGCTAGGAATTGGTGGCCAGTAAACCCCAAGGGTTGTGAATTCTCTCTTTCATCTGGTCTGTGACTTGCACAAATCCAGTCCAGCGCGAGCCGGAGGCTGGAAAGCACTTTAATCCTGTATATACATATTTGAAGATTTGATACATAATAAACGTTGTAATGATTGGTTTAAAGCAGTGTCATTTCTATCAGAATTCTGAAACTTGGGTATCTGAGTGTTAACTCAGGGTCTTGCGTCTATTTTTTTTTAAATTGCCATTTCAGTCCAGTGTACTCTTTATTCATATAAATTAATTAATTAATATGAAGGGGATAAGATAGATGCGTGGATAGTTCTATGCTGGAGTTTTAAAATTGTAATTCAGCAGAGTTAAAATAGCTTAGCAATGCCAGAGTAAAATAATCAGACTCAGAGTCCATGTGTGCTTAAAATAGAAAATTTTTACTACAACCTAGCATAGGGAAAGGGTAAGTGGGAGGAAAATAACAACACAGCTAAACAGCTACATCCTCACTCTACAAAGGACAACACTAGAATTGCTAGCAATGGCTTCTCTTACTTCTTCTTCAGAACAGCAAAAACAAAGACGGGAAGAGGAGCCATAAAATGCTAAAATACTTTGACACTTTGCTTCCAATGAAACTCCTAGATCAGGGATGGTTTTCCCCGGCATGTGGTCCTAAACTACCATTGGCTAAATAAAACATGTGATTTCCTGTGAGCAACACAAACATACATTTAACCCCATATATACTGAAGTGTTTTTAACATGTAATACCCAACAGTCTACCAGGGGCTACTAGCCATGGTGACTCAGGAGAACCTCCAGTTTCAGAGGCACTAAACCTCTGAATCCCAGAGCCAGGAGACAACATCAGGGGAAGGCCGTGGCCTCTATGCCCTGTTGTTGGCCCTATGGGGAACTGGTTGAGGCCACTGTGTGAGACAGGATGCTGGGCTAGATGGACTCTCACTGGTCTGATCCAGCAGGGCTCCTCTTATGTTCTTATGTCCATATAGACTACTGTTTTAAAAAACATGATCTCTTCCTGTCATGTTTTCATCCTATCCTTTCTCCAAAGAGCTCCGAGGGGCACCCACAGTTCTCCTTTCTTCATGTTATCCTCACAACAACCCTACGAGCAGTGTTCCCTCTAAGCTGAGTTAGCGCGAGCTAGCTCAGCTTTTTAACCTCCAGCTCACACGTTTTTGTCTTCGCTCAGGAAGGAGGGCTCCAGAACAGACTAATTCATGCAGTAGCCCAATCGCTCACTCACAACTTTAATCCTGGTGGCTCACAGAGTAGAATTTTTTGCTCACGAGACTCCACAGCTTAGAGGGAGCATTGCCTGTGAGGTCAGCTGAAAGAGCATGGTTTGTCCAAGGTCATCTGAGGAGCTAGAGTGGCAGAGTGGGGATCTGAACCCAGATCTCCCTGGTCCTAGTCTGTCTCTCTGACCACTACAGCACTCTGCCCCCAGTGTCTAGAGGCACCCACATTTATGGTCTGGGGGGAAATTGGCTGCTGTTCCCTAGGAATCTGGCCACAGCTGTTCCTTGAGGGTTTAAAGGGAGGGAAGGGGGCCTGGCATAGCCCCATCTGGTCACATCTCAGATACTAAGCAGGGCCAGTACTCGGAAGGGAGACAATGTTGGGTGATAGTGAGATATTGAAAAAATGGTATTTAGCAGAGATAAGATGGTCCAGCAGAGCCAGAGTAAAATAATTCAGACTGAAAGTCCACGTGTAATTAAAATATAAAGTTTTTACTAAATTCTAGCATGGGAAGGGTAACTGGGATGAAAATAACAACAGAGCAAAATCGGCTACATCTTTACTCTACAAAGACAAAACTAGAAGAAGAGAGAGTATGGCTACTCTTCTTGTTCTTCAGAACACCAAACAAAGACGGGAAGAGAAGCCAAAAAATGCTAATACACCTTGACACTTTAGTCCCAATCAAATTCCTAGATCAGGGAGAAAATTCCCGGGTATTCTACAGCTAAAGAACATTGGTTACATGAAAAACATGTGACTTTCTGTGAGTAACATAAACAAACATTTAACCTCAGATGTACTGAGTGTTTTCAACTTGTAATACACAACAGACAACCAAGGCAGACTCAGCAGAGGAAGGCAACGTCAAACCAGCCCTGCTCCTCAATTGACTTGAAAGCCCCTTGCTGGGGTCACTGGATGTCAGCTGTGACTCGAAGGCACGTCACACACAGAGGGTTTAAAAATAACATTGCATATCTTTGCAGCACATGCCACAACACTGTTTGTGGTGTAAAGAGGAATTTCCCCCCAATAGCTTCAACTAGGTTTCCCTTGCTCGAAAGCCAGTCAAATCCAACTCTAGGAATACGGTACTCATCTCCGTTTCCAAGCCAAATAGCCAGCGCTGTCTAAAGACATTTCTGTGGTCATGTGGCCAGCATGACTAGATGCCAAGGCACACGGAACGCTGTTATCTTCCCACCGAAGTGGTACCTATTTATCTGCCTGCAATTTCTTGCTTTTGAACTGCTAGGTTGGCAGGAGCTGGAACCAGAGACGGGAGCTCACTTTGTCATGCAGCACTCGGGTCTCAAACTGCTGAACTACAGACCTTCCACAGCCTGCAGTTCAGCGTCTTAACCACTGAGCCACCGCAGCTCCTATCCAGCTTCAACTAGGGACCAGCAAAGGGATACTGTGAGGGGAGGGTGGTGGTCATTGTGGAAGGGTCATTCGTAGCTCCTAGGCCATCAATGAACTCTATTCAGTATCCTGTTAATGCTAAGGTTGAGCCCTGGGGCAGGAGCACTCACAACGGAGAATGCCTCTGAGTGTAGGTAGAGTGCTTTCCTTCGTCACCCAGCAGCCATGACCATGTTTAAGATTACAGGAATGATCTTCCAGGTTAGAGGGTGTCTGTTTCAGGGAAACAGGAACCAAAACTATTTGTCTTTTTAATAATTAACCCCAGGGCCAGCAAACCACTAAACGAATCCCAGATTCTGAATGGAAGGGGGGAGTCAGTAGGAACTTCACCACTAGTCTGCAGAGAGAAGGGAAGGAGGAAGTGAAAACTGGGTCTGTGTGATAATATTTAACACTGAGGGAAAGAACTTCAAGATTGTCATGCTGGGGTCCTATCGAAGACGCATCTAGCTCAGTATCCTGTCTCTGTAGGAAGCAGGCCATGACGGGCTCTGTCCTCCCACTCTTACCCATGCCCGGCATCTAGTACTGACAGATAGACTGCCTTTGAACGTGCAGGTTCCATTGACTGTTGATTGAGCAATTTCCCGTGCATTTGCCAACCTGTTGCCCAAACCAGCAGCCGTCTCTGAAATCTTGTGGCAGGGGCTGGGAACGGATTACAGAGTCACACCATTCAGTGTTTCGCTTAGTCATCCTGACGACAATACTGCAAGGTTGGCCACTCCTTTATTTGCAGTAATTTGCAATAACCTCAAAAAGCAGGCCAGGAAGGGAAGGGAAGAGGCAGTGGAAGGAAGGCCGAGACCGCATGACTTCAGCTCTCGCTGCCGAAGCACTCCCTTTCCTTATATGGACGACGCGTGCCCTCTTTTGCCCGTCTCCTTGCTTCAACTCTGGATGCATTCCTCAGGATTCAGTCCCCCCTCCCTCCATGGAGAAAGATGAGAAAGGCAGAGTAGTTTCACAGTCTACCTCTGGGGCTTGGAAGCTGGAACTCAACCCAGGTTTTGTACAGGTTGCCTCAACATGCCCCGGCAAGAGCACTCGCTCCCTCTCCAGTACCTCCATCCCAGAGCTTTGCCTGGTCTTGTCGTCAGACTTTCAGCCTTGTGAATCTGAGATGGATTGCTGGTCATGTCCTTGTGCAGGAAGGGACCCCAGTGGCTGCGAAGGGCAGGCTATCAGGCCATTTCCATTGGGTGCCGTAATTAACGTTAGACTAGGATCTGGGAGATCTGGGCCTGTGTGGGAAGGGACTACGGTGGCTGGGAAGGGCACATTACATGCCATTTCCATTTGGCCTAGTAGTGGCTGAAGTGTCAGGCTAGGCTCTGGGAGACCCAGGTTCTGATCCCTGTTACGCCATGAAGCCTGCTGGGTGAACCTGGGCCAGTCACTCACTCTCAGCCTGACCCACTTCACAGGGTTGTTGTGAAGGCAAAATGGAGGCAAGGAGATCTGCAGACGTTGTCATCAGCTCCACGGAGAAAAGGTAGGATAGTACTATATCAAACAAACAAACAGCCTGATCCTATTCCAAGGTATAGTTCTCTGAAAGTTGTAATAGGATTGGGCCAAAAGGTTGCTTGGAGCCCAAAAAGTTCCCAAAGGAGGCTGCCTGTTGTGGCACAGTATGTTTCTATGCCAGCTTTTCCACCTCCCAATTGGTCTCCTCTGGGAGGGGTCATTTCCTGCAGGAGCGCACAGAAACGGAGCTCCGGCAGTAAGGAGCCCAGGGGGCGGGCACATGCAACAAGCCCCACCCCCTGTTCCCAGCAGCCCTCAGTCAGAGCAAGAAGCAGCCAGGTAAGTTGCAGAGCTCCCCCCAGCCCCCCAGCCCCAAACAGTCCAGTGGCACCTTTAAGACCAAGTTTTATTCCGGTACAAGCACTTCCTCCTGCGAGGACAGATCTGCACATTCCCCCCCCCCCAATAGCTAGCCATCCAAAACAGTCCAGTGGCACCTTTAAGACCAAGTTTTATTCAGGTACAAGCTCTTCCTCCTCTGCGAGGACAGATCTGCACATTCCCCCCCTCCCAATAGCTAGCAATCCAAAACAGTCCAGTGGCACCTTTAAGACCCAGTTTTATTCAGGTACAAGCTCTCCCTCCTCTGTGAGGACAGATCTGCGTGGTCCCCCCCCTCCAATAGCTAGCAATCCAAAACAGTTTGCTACTCTGACTGGAAACCAAGGTGTCAAGTACTTTGGAGCTAGTTTGCTACTCTGATTGGAAACCAAGGTGTCAAGTATTTTAGCATATTGGTTTTCTCCTCCCTCTCTTTGTTCTGACCAGAGAAGGAGACGCCATTCGGCTCTTCCTGTTTTACCTTTTAGCTGCAAGGATGTAGGCATACTAGCTCTTTGTTATTTTCATAT